TATTGCAAATATATTAATAATAGTAATTCATATAATGCAAATACATTAATAAATGAATATAATATTGATTACAATTACACCTCTGGCCAAAAGTTTGGAAACATTTGCGATTGTTTCGCATTACACAAAAAAATTCTTATATATATATATACATCTTTGCGAAAAATTATCATATCAAAATTTAAACATAAATTTAAGGCCCTATTTTTGTACTTTAAAAAGTGATCGAAAACTTCTTTATGACTTTTTTTCATCGAGATATTTAACTTCTTATGAAATGCGAAAAGATCACACACAAGTCTTTCCAAACTTTTTGCCGAGAGTGTACATCTAATTGTACTGCACTCCATTTTAAATTATTTCTAAATTAAATTATCACGTACTTTTATTTAAATATCTTGTGCAATCTGATGATCCATCCAATTTGATACACTCCTTTTCGTTCACTTTAAGCCATAAATAATGTTCACATAAATAATATGTAACTTTACGTTGTATACTTAACATTTACTTATTCAGTGAGATAAGAAATAATTGCTTAATTTGAAACAATTTATTCGATGAGTTAAGAGAATAACACTCACATTGTCATCTACTAATAAAAATTTATCAATAATAAGATTGTTTATAAATTTCAACAATAAGTTTTGCCATATTTCACAAAGTCTTGTTTATAATATTACGGCTTTACTTAATTTTGAAATACGCTTGTAAATTTTTCACTCTCGTCACGATCGCTTCTCGGAGTTTCCTGAGTTATTCGACGTTGTGTTTCATTCGTACTGACCGTCCAGGCCCAAGGCACGCAGAATTAAGGCTTCATTTCAGACTTTATTCCTCCTCTCCTTTAGCGCATTCTCTTCTCTACTGTACTCCCTCTTCTTTCCCTTTTTCTCTTCATTTCTTCTCCCCTCCTTTTTTCTTCCTCCCTCTTTCTCTTTCCCTCTCCTTCTTTCTCTTTTTGTTTTATTTAGTCTGCTCCCTCTCGAAATGAGATTGCTGTAATTTTTTTTTAAATATTATGCCTATTTGTTTTTTTTTTAAATCTAGCCTATCAATGAATGGGCAATATTTTCAAGAGATTTTCTTGATCGAAAAATTTACAATTTCTTTATTGAAATTCTTTATAAATTCTTTATAAAAATTTATCAAAATATCAAATATTCATTTTATTTTATATCATAAATATTTCGTTAATTTAGAAAAATTATAAATTTTTTCAATATAAAATCTAAATGTATTTTTTCCGGATATTCTGGTAAAAATAATCAAAACGATACTTTTTATATCAGAATACTTTTAATATCAGA